CATTCAGGCATTACTCTTTAAGCCAAATACAGCCTGAGTATTTGGTTCCTAGAGGATCTAGCTACAAATCATATATCCTTGTGACATCTCCCATGTCACACAAGAAGCAAAAATGTCCCACACTCCTTTTTCTGCATATTTTTCTTTCTTATCTTACACATATATTTGCACAGCAGCAGGAGCTGTTACTTGTTCTGCAGTTATGGAGCACCTCATACAATGGAATTGGAGCCCATGACCACACTTTGTAGGTGCTATTGCAAGGCTGATAAAGAATTAACTGCAGTCAGCAGCAAAAGCTGCTTTCAGGCAGCACACTCCTGAAAATGAGAGCAAAATTCAGGGAAGGGCCGAGTGCCTGCAGTTCACATTGACTCCAGCCCAGGCTGTGGTAGCTCAGCAGCTCTCAGCATCTCTGAGGATTTATTCTGCAGCATGTTTGCTTTTGCCTCCAGCGTGCAATGGGAGGAAGCCAGTAGTGTGGCTGAAAACCACAGCTCCCAGCCACTTCTCCCCTCAGTGCTGAGTGAGAGGGTGAAAGCTTGCAGACCAGCCGTTACCTTTCTTGCGCGCACATCTCAGCGGGAATAAAAGCAAAACACAGAGCTGAATTTATTCCTAGCCAACGGAAATTTCATATTGAGGGTTACAGGCGTCCTGTGCCTCTTAAAAGCAAGTAATAAAATGCTGCTCTCAATTACAAATTGTATTTACATTTAAACCCCCATACGGTTTGGTGAGGTGGAGGGAGGTTTCAGATGTATTAGCAGCAGTGTTGTGCCTTGATCAGTTACAATTTTCCACATGCTGTAATGAACAATTAATGCCTCCACCTTTGTTTTTTCCTCCGTCTTGCAAACTAACCCTGTGGCTATGCCAGGTCAATGGGCAGCAGATGAGACACAACTTCTGCCTAATGCTATGAACAAAAATAAGCAAATACATTGAAATGACCATCTCTACAAAGCCTTCTGTAATAGGATTCACACACTAAGTATAAATTCAATAGCAGTTGATTTTTTTAGGTAACTTCCTGGACTGAACTTTTCAAAATGTAGGGACATTTAACAGGAAAACGCACAAACACATGCAAATGTGCACAGCTACAAAAAGTCAAATTTGAGCTACAAAAGTCAAATTCCCTTCTCTCTGCCTTCAAGCAGTGATTAAGGCAAAGCAGTCATTGTCCTACATAGTGCACAAGTCTTGTGGCTGGCCCTTGGCTTTTGCAGAAGCCATGTGTGTGTCGCTCAGTGCCAGCTGATAGCTGAAGGCACATTTTTGGGTGCATTTCTGCACAGAACTGGTCAGTATTGCCTAGAAGGCCTCAACATGGATTCTCTACTCAACATTTAATAAAACCTGCTCCAGGTCACTGCTCTGACAATGCTCTTCCTCCTTAACCACACTAAGCCTATACAGGAGATCATCACTAAAGACCCTCAAGACTGCCTAGCACTTGGTATCATGATCTGCCTTCCCAGACATCTGCATTAGCAATGTCAAAAGGTGTTTTGATATCAAAAGATATTTTGATATCAACAATGTCAAAAAGTGTTTTGATAACACCTAATATCAAAAAATAGCCAGTAGGTCCTGTTCACCTTTAGTCAAAATCTGATAGAACAACCTTTCTCTGAGGTTTGTGGGAACTCCTAAGAGAATAGAAACGTTTCTTCTCTATGTTCATAAACGCTTGTCCAAGTCACTGGTCCTGGCCAATAATGCTTAATTGCACCCAGTGATACCCAAGCATTGCAGGACTATTTCAGGGGTATAAATGGGAGAAGTGGTTTTATTCGCCATGAAGACAATCTACAGTTCTACTGGGGACGGGCAAGGTCCCTGAAGGGAGCAAGTCTAGCAGCATAAGCAGCAAGAAAAAATCCAAAGAAATCAGGACAGAACTCAGTAACAATTCTGTACCATAAACCAGCATTGAACAGACAGTTATCTCGTCTTCCATGGGGATTAGTGATGACAGATAAGAAGTAATAGGCTCAGATTGCAACATGGGAGATTTTAAGTTAGGTACCAGGAACAATTTCTGCCTGCAAGGATAGACAGGTAGATTGTCCAGGGAAAGTGTGGAATTTAAAGGGGTTTTCTAAACCTCAGTTACTCTGAATCTGCTTTGGTTGTAATGGTGCTCACACCCCGATATTGCTGACCAAGGCTGAGGCCTCAGATGTGAGAGGATGTTCCAAGCTGTAAGTGACAAATTTATAGGCATGTCTTTTCCTCATATTTACCTCCAACACTGCAGTGACAGCCATACTGGAAAAGACGGGGCCAGATCCACTGTTAGCTTAAATCACCTTTACAATCAAGAGAATCATAGAATCATAGAATGGTTGGGATTGGAAGGGGTTGCCCTGGCTGTGGTGCAGGACCTTGCAGAGCTGTGAGTAGAGCTGTCTCAGTTTACTATGGCTAACCTGCTTTGCTTTTATTTATAAATAATACATTTATGACACAATGCCTATAAATAGTATTCCATTAATTTTATTGCTTGTTTAGATATTTCCCTAAAGGGCTAATACATACTTACTGTTGTGTTACTATTTCAGCTTCTGTTAGTTTGCAGCTAAACCATACAGTCTACTTGGAGCTGAGGCTAAGCTCAGCAGCTCGGCTTGGGATGAAGAGCACATTTGGAGTAATTAGATTTGTGGGTTTAGGTGGTTTGGGTTTATTTTTTTAGGGTATAACAGTGTAATAAAAAGAAATGGCTGTAATTTATAGCCCAGCGGTTGGCAAGGGCTTGTCTGGTCTAGGATTATTTTTTTTTTAATAGCAGAAATTTTAAATTTAGGTTAGAATTTCAAAGAAGCTTTGTACCCACAACTAAGGGTTCAGTGCTGCCAAGCTCTGCATTTGAAAGTCACGAATGAGGCACAAAAATACCAATTTTAACTTAAAATAAGAAGGCATCGATACAAACTCATACACATATACTGACACGGATATCCAGGTACCTCTGAATAAGGGTGATGTTTAATTTTGTATCAAATTCACTCTTCATCAGGGACTAGTGATAGGACAAGGGGGAATGGGTTTAAAGTGAAACAGGGGAAGTTCTGGTTGGAGATAAGGAACAAGTTCTTCTCTGTGAGGGTGCTGAGGCGCTGGCACAGGGTGCCCAGAGAAGCTGTGGCTGCCCCATCCCTGGCAGTGTTCAAGGCCACGTTGGACAGAGCTTTGGGCGACATGGTCTAGTGGGAGGTGTCCCTGCCTGTGGCAAGGGTTAGAACTGGATGATCTTACGGTCCCTTCAATCCAAACCAGTCTGGTATTCTATGATTCTAAGATTCCATGTTTGGTTAAGTAACCTTAAGGTAATAAAATTAAAAATATTTTTGTTTTGCTTAATTAGCAGCAATTTTCAGTGAGAACCTGGGAATAATTATTCTCTGTGCCACAATACTGTGATGCAGAGGGTTGACCAATGTACAGGGGGGTTGTACAGGGGGGTTGGAGGAATTCGATTGCTTAAGCAAAGGTATTGTCTGTACCTATCATGCCTACTAAGCAGAACAAAAGCACTAGCTATTGATAAGGAAAAGCAGACACCTGGTTCTATTGACAAGGAAAAGCAGACACCTGATTCTACTGATAAGCACCTATTGATAGGGAAAAGCAGACGCCTGAATCTACTGTTAAGGGGGAGAAGCAGATGGTTGATGGCTGGGACCAAACCCTAAGGCCATACGTGAAGACTAAAAGGTGAAAAGTTAAAGAAGAGGAAGACTCATTTACTTCATCTTGAAGACCCCTACCCACAGGAGGAAGACTCATTTACTTCATCTTGAGACCCCTGCCCATGACCAGAGGGGGCACTGCGCAGGCGCAAAGGACCTTCTAGCTCACTGTAATACGAACCGGGGATAGGACATGAATAGGCGTATGGTGCAACCTGATAAATGTAGAGGGAAACAACACTGGGGCACGCATGACTTTTGGAGGACCAATCCCCCGTGCGTCTTCAGCTGAATAAAGCATACCTACTTTACAACTTTAACGAAGTTGTGGAGTCTATTCCGCTATCAATAGGTGCTTATCAGTAGAATCAGGTGTCTGCTTTTCCTTGTCAATAGAACCAGGTGTCTGCTTTTCCTTATCAATAGCTAGTGCTTTTGTTCTGCTTAGTAGGCATGATAGGTACAGACAATACCTTTGCTTAAGCAATCGAATTCCTCCAACCCCCCTGTACAACCCCCCTGTACATTGGTCAACCCTCTGCATCAACTGCACCAGTTTAGGTTATGAGTTTGGGTTTCTTTTTTACATTCCGGTATTTGCTTTCCATGTGCATTTATTACCAAGTTTTACTCTACAATAATGAAAGCCCAAAACTCCTATTTTGAGTTTCACACAAACTAAGATTCTCTAATCATCTGGCTCTGGGGACTCTAGACTTAAGAAGAACACTAAACATGATAAGAATAAAAAAAAAAACCTCAGGAGAGCTATGAATAAGGTGTGTTGTTTATCAAGAAAGTTCAGACTTTGCTTTCTTTGCAAGAGTTCAATCCTCAGCATAACAAATACCTTCTCGTAAGGAGAACTTCTAAGACAAGAGCTTCCTGAAAAATAGAATTGCCTCTTTACCTGCTGAGTGCCTTTGTAGAGTAAATCCTCATTAGATGGTACAGACAAATGCCAGCATACCAAATAGACCAACTTTAGTCAAAACATATTACATGAGTTCCCATTATGCTGTGCTCTGGTTCTGTAAATGCTTATGGTTAGATATTGTGAAAGAGGGGCCCCTTCAAAATGATGTACTGACCTGGCTTGTTCCAAAGCTATCCAGAAGCAATGAAACAGTGTGCCACTGACTCCCACTGCACCTTGGATCACAGTCACAGAGTGTAAAGGTAAACGTATGAAAAAGGATTTGCAGGACTCAGAAGCCACTTGAGAGCATGTTTTCATTCAGGCACAATTGCTGATTACATCCCACTGTCCCAGTGCATAACCCTGCCTCATAGACTGACTCTGTTTTCTTAAAGCAGAAGTCCACTTGCCCATGTTATTGTAATCCAAAGAAGTGCTGCCTTGGTGCTGAAGCAATGGCACATTAGCACCATGTTACTGGAATACATCAGAGCAATTGTGCACTAATGCTGTATTACTTAACAATAGGGCATCTCAGTAACAACACTCACAGTAATTCTGAGTACTCCTGCTGAGGTGAAAGAGACATCTTAATGGGAGACCCTGACATTTCTGCAGACCCATCTACATTCCTTCAAATCAACACAGTGATTGCCTGAGCATGAGGTCACAAAGAGCCCTGTAAAAACATTCAATCACTAAAAGGTCCAAACCCCATGTCAAAACATAACTCACAGGAGTATGTGAAATCATACCGGGCTTTGAGCTAACTGCATTAACTTTGGAAACAATCTAGGTAGTGAAAGAAGGGCATTTCAGAGCTCTTCAAAAAAGTCTCAACAGTATTCCAGCCTTAACAGTATTCTGCTGTCGTGATTCAAAAAACTCGAATGTCTGCAGTGGTCACAGAGCAATTCATTTAGAAGAATTCATACAAAATGCCATTTGTTCCGGCTACTGGATCTGAAGCTACCAAGGCGTGTAACTGTTTATACAGGTTTTAAAGCAAATACTGATCCCCTAGCCAGGCCTGGGAAAATCTCAGCAGCCCCCCCTGCAACAGCAAAATGACCTGTACAAAAGAACTGCACAAGATAAAACTGAAATACCTAAAAAAGGCACAAGCCTGTCATAGCTTCTCTTTCCAGTCCCAGTGACAACCTGCTGTTCATATTGATTTTGTGTAAGTATAGCTTCAGCTAGAGATTACACCTTGCACCACCACAGCTCTAATACTACAAGAGTTTCTTTTGTCTCAGTCAAAGCTGAGTCAGCATAAGGGTTCTACAGTGGAAAGTTTGTGCAAAGCAAACCAGAATATAAATACAGCAGTCATGAAGAAACTCAAAATGAGAACTAAACGTACAGTAGCTCACTCCACTTCCAAAGCCTGCATTTGGGGACACAACGTGTTCTAGACAGTCCAGTTGAAATTCCCATTCAAACAGCCTCTACACTGAAAACACCAGGGAAGATTTTCAGTGATGTGGCCTTTAACGTGCAAAGCATTTACATGGCCAAGATCTGTCTTTTGTCTGCAACAGAAGAAAAGACAGATTTTATTCAGAGCTTCACAATGAAGTTTAGGATTTATTTTGCTTCTAAATTTCTTTCAACCTAAAAACATTGGGCTTGATTCTTACAGCTTGTGAAGTCACATTTGGGCAGAGTGGAAGTAAGAAGCTTGCTACTGATACTTGTAGGTACCCTACATTCACTTTTACATGTGCACAATGACTATACAAGTTGTCTCGGTGCAAATCCACTTTCATCAGTAACACAGGTTAATATGCCACAGTGTGAACATGAGTGGCTAATATGCTGGCACACGGCCTGTTCTGCCATTCCTGCCACCAGGCATATAACCTCCTGCAGACAGGTAGGACAGACAACATCGAATGTTAACATCTCCAACCACTTCAGTGACAGCAATCAGTTCATCTGTGGAAGCAACATAAAGTGCACAAGGTCTCACCAAGCCAGTGACAAACACTGACAGTGGAATCCCTGTCATCTGAGTCCCAGAGATCAAGCCCTTGCGGCTTGCTAATATTTTACATTACTTTTATTCATTAGTATGCCTAAGTGCTCTGCTACAGGTAGACTTCTCCTTCTAGCACACTCAAGGCAACCTCTTCCAAGGAAACCTATGATGTTCACAACAATCTTTTTGTATTTAACTGCGATTTAATGCAAAAGTGGGTGATTTCACTAAAAACCTGCAGAAAATTTACAATGCTGCTTGTGGATTTGGTTTGCTAATGGTGTTTTCAGTGAAAAACATTTGTTTGAGTGAAATCTGATGAATCAAAACAATCCTGCTTCTGAAGGAAGACTCTGGATATCCAGACTAATTCAGAAAGAGATCAAATTTTGTGTCAAAACATGTAAAAATATGACTGTTCAGATTTAAATGTCGAAAATAAATATTGTGTCAGTTTATGAAGAACTGAGCACAAATTAAGCAGTTGTAAAATGTGAGAATCTTATCATGAAACACATAAATATAACTTTTTACCCAGAAATATGGCTTTTTTACCCAGTTACCCAGTTCAGTCATCAGATGCTACAACGCAATAGGTTCAATGAATGTGGATGGGAGAATCCCATCTGCAAGATTCTTAATCTTTCAATACTAGGAATACTTAAAATGCCAGAGTGACAGCATAAAGGGCAAACAGATTTAGTAATCATGCTGATTCCACTTCTTCCTGAAAAGGTTCTAACATCATCAGCAAAGCATCCAAAGCAGTAGTTACATTTTTTTAAGGAAATGCACAAACTTTGAATGGCATATTGCTGTTTTTTCTGTTGGATACTGTTTTGTTCCCTGTCTAAAGGGCGATTCCCATCCAGTGCCCAACAACAGCAATGAGGTTAAATTGGTTTGGATGATATCAGCTACATGTAATTAAACCAGCAGCCCATGTCCGATCTTTTCTGTGACCATGTTAGGTGTTAAATTAAGGTCTGATTAAGAGTGTGCTGCTGCAGTTAAGGTCAAGGACTAAAGATCACAAGCTTTGTTTCATCTAATAACAATAAAGACTGTCTGGCTGCCAAATACCACAACAGCCCTTGTTCTCCTATCAGACTGCTGTCCAGCTAGAGGGATCTGATTTCACTGGTATCCCTTTTTAAACCCTACTTCTAAGAGGGTTTGTAGCTATTTCATCTGTACTAAGCAGTGCCATGTTACCCGAGGCTATTCGGTACATTCTGTATGATCAAAGCAGAAATGCAGCAGCTTCTGACGAAGAGTTATCATGGCTGAGGGGAAAAAAATCCCAAGGAAGGAGAAAAAAAGATACAATGCTACAAAATACCAGGTCATGCCACCAAAGTAAACACCCACAGGTAAGCTCATAACATGAGAGCACACAATGGTGGACACTGCACATGTGTTTGCTTGGTACAAATCACAGGCTTCCACCAGCAGTCAGCAGGAGACATGTGTCAGACAGCACAGAGGAGAGATAAAAGCAGAGCGGTGAAGAGAAAAACCAGCAACTTATTTGTAGGATGAAGACAAGAACTAGTGCCTAAGAGCTTCTCCCTGCGTGTTTTCCACAAAGACAGGTCAGGAGACGTTACCAGAGCAGTTCTGTTATGAGAGAACACAATTCCTAGTACCCAATAAAGTGTTCCCATGAAACATGCCCATATTAATCTCAAACGAATACAAGGTGCTGGGACATGTTAGTTTCCCAAAAAGGAGGGTGGAGCAGAGTAAGAAACCATATGGCCCCAGAACAATTTCCCACAGACACATCCTATTGTATGTTTCCATACTTGGGGTCCAGTTTCAGAGCAGCTACCCATTCATTCTTCAAGAGTCATCTGAAGTGTCCTTCATCTGCTCCTAGCACTTAATAGACTAATAATAGAGCACTGTTCATACCTGGAAGGACAATTTTGCTGCTCTGTGAGGCTGCACACAGAAAACCCATCATAGGGCCACACTGAACACACTAAAACCACTACCTGTTTGATAGTTCTTTGTGAATTGCATTGTACATGTGATCAAGAAAATTCCTGGAGGTGTCTTGATGCTTTGCATTTCAGGATTTGACATACAGTTTCCTAACAAACTCTGAGTGAATCCCAAAAGATTCAATGATACAGTTCAACATGGATGAGCTTCCAACTCTATGGTTGCCACTGTGCTACAGCTCTCTGCAGAGCTGGCTTTGCTGTGGGAGATTCCAGGCTTCCTGGAACCTGAGTTACATCAGAAATACAGTGAACACCACAAAATAGCCAGGTGTGACAAATGACTTCTCTGTAACAGCAGAACTGTGTTCACCATTGGGAATCAGTGCCTGAACAGGAAAGCTACCTTGTAATGACATTAATGACAAAATGTTAAAAAACCCAATCACATTAAAAGGGCAGGTTTGGTTTGGTTTGATTTGATTCACTTCATCATTCTGCTTGCTAAATTTTACAAGAAATATTGTACACAGAGAGCTACAGTTTTACTTCAGTGTTGGAGACTGTGGTCAAAGCATTTAAACTCAATGGTTTAAGACTGAACATATATATCAAGATGACAGCCCTGAGCAGTCCAGATTCACTGCTGCGAGTCAAAGAAAGCTGCTTTTGAAAGTGATCCTTAGTTTTGAAAACTGAGCCAGTGTTGATAAGGCACTTTGCTACCATTTTACATACTGAAACTTAAGCATGTCAGTCTGGATCCAAATAGAAATAAAAGGTCAGTTTGGTGGCAGGTCAGAACACTGCAGCTCAGCCACTTGCTCTGGTACTGGAGCAACATGGTAGCATCATGCCCTGGCATCTTTCGCTTCCCAGGCTGAATGAGCAGGGACCCAGGCACAAGTAGCCTGGCAATGGCTCCACACATAAATCCAGGGTGAACTCAGACTCCTGCTTTGGACTCTGAAACTGATGATAGAAGGACTGCTTTTGAAAACATTCCAGCCTTGTCCTGGATAGCTGCATTACGTTATTTCAGTATCTGCACTATTCCCTGAACTACACTTCAGCAAGTAGAAGAGGGATTGTTGTACGTATTATGGCAATGTCATTTTTTTGTTTTATGCAACTGGAAAACTTAAGGGCAACTGCTTCAATTCTGTGCTGTGTAGTGTTCACAGTAACACCTGCTTACTGGATAGACAGAAAAAAGCCCTTATATTTCTTCTTTATTGCAATTTATTACTCTAGCTTGAATGGTTCCTGGTGACTTCCTAAGATTAATGTTAATATTCTGATCGGAGTCTTCCCTCTGGAGTTTTATTATGGGTTTTGAACATTCATTTCATTTAACATACACATGGGAGCAAGTCTGGTGGTTCCAAAAATATTTGTAGTTGGAAATCACAGTGATTTTTGTTAGGCTCAGTGCCAAAGAAATCACAAATCAGAAGTCTGTTATAGAGTAGTTCCAATTTCTTGGCATCAAAATTCCTCTTTATGTATATGCA